AAGCCTAAGAGGTGGAATAGGAAGACTGGATTGCTTGAGCAGTAGCATCTAAACCTCTATCCACCCTGCTCGATGCAGCAGATAGGGCACCGTTGATTATCCTCTGAGAAGGCCGAAGCATCAGGTAATTGTTTAATGAGGCTTTCATATTATTGCATGGGTAGGATACTGTCAGCTTGTCCAGGCGTAGACAGGAGAACGATTAGGGTTCTCAACCAAAGCCTTTGGTCCAAAAACCTGACCGCAATGTAGCGGGTTTGGCAGTGGGCTACAAGGAGTCGATTTTAAGAAATAGAGAGCCACGCTCCTACCAACCCCTAACCTGGAGGATCTAGGAGGCTGAGTTTGTCAGGCCCCTTGCCGTTGACCAATCTAGTATGAGTGGCTCTGAAGGTGCAAAAAAGCACCACCTAGCATAGCTCGATTGATGTCTGAGGCCCGCCAACCATCCCACAACGGTTAGGTCCAGCCTCATTGCGATTGCACCATCAAGATGGTGCGTGGGTTACGACGTGTGCTGTATTTTGAGAGATTGCTTAGGTTGTCTCTTTTATCGCCGCCACATCGGCGCCACCCTGCCGATGTGATCGTTACCTACCGCATCTTATCGGGCCAGATTGATCCGGACTTATGTCACCTTTTCCTTCCGGCTGGATTGTTGACTCTTTGTGGGCATCCAAGGAAGCTTCACAAGCCTCGATCCGATCGAGTGGGGGCTGATGCCCGGTTATGGCTACTTGAGGATGTATTATTGGCACCGCCAGTTGCTACATTTGAACACTGACTTGACGCCATCGGTTTGTAACTTCTTCACATCTTGGTCTGGATTACAATTTTCCATTCGTTTTCTTATCTTGATCTCCAGCGTTTATTTTCCGTTGTATTGTTTATTTCGGTTTCTTTTTCCTTTCCTTTCCTTTTGTTTTATTTCTGTTTCATGTTACCGGTACAGCAGGGACTGCTGGTGCAGGACACTTGAGTATTGATTGGCGGGGCGCAGTGTGGCACGCGTGCCGATTTTACACCCTCAGATGAATCGATTCGCCGAAATCCACCTTGGACCAACGAAACTTACACAATGGAACATCTATGGGATTCTCCTATTGTTCCTGTCCCACTTGAAATTGAACTTGAATCTCTCACTCAAAGACAGCCCAATGCGCGCGCTCTCTACAACCTTGGATGTACATAGCCTGCTGCAACGTTAACGGCTACTTCTGTCAATGTCTACAGCGTCTCACCATCTAAGTTCTCATTGTCCACTGTGGCCTCTGTCGAGCAGTGGGTGGCGAGAAACGTCTCATGATAAACCCATTAAGTCTACATACTTCTCTGGCTCCGGCCCTGTTCAACTCTGATGATGAGTCATCTGTTTATTCGGTTTATTTATGTCGGTTCGTATCCTAAAGGTAACGTGCTTGTCTTGCACACTGGTGGCGCGGGTTCGAGTTTGTGACATCCTTAAGCATGGCTCAACCTCCTTTCCAATTGGTCTACAGATATCGATCCGCCGGTCAACGCAGTCAAACCGTTATATATGAGCTTGGGGAAGCGCGTCGATGGGCGTACATACATGCTGGCCGGCCAGTCGCTACATCACACACCTTCCGTGAAGGATCTTGTAATACTCTCACGCTGTGATTTGAAATCCGCAGAAAACACGAACAAGCTATATGGTAACGGATTGCGCATGCTTTGTTTGCTCAAACGCTGCCTCTGCATTTAGTCTGAAGAGATTGCCACGCGCCTCTTCTCTTCCATCATAAGGCCCATACTCGCGTACGGGTCATCTGCCTATTGTCCGATCGCCCGTGGCGCGGTGCAAAGACTGGAACGTGTCAAACATGTGGTTACCAGGTTCATCCTCATTTTACGGGGTATGCCGAACGAGGACCGATGCAGACAACTAGGGCTCTAACCCTGTCGTCTCGTCGGTTTCGAGTTGCTCTTATTTTGACGCATTGGATATTGCTTCTGGATCTCTTCCCCATGCTGACACCACTGCTTCACGTACGCGCACCAAGTAGCACTCGCGGGTATCGCTACAAGCTAGTGTTACCGGACTTAAAGCGGATAGCTCACTCACTATACTCGTTTGCTGAGTGGTAAAATATTGGAATAGTTTACATGTGAAAATTGTTGTGGCGAAATCGGTGTCGGAATTCAAGCAGTTCCTGGACACCCACTTTGCGGATTTCAGAAACAAGAAGCGCATCTCATCCGAATAGCATGCGGCGCAGCAGTAATGGCAGCAGACGGTCAGACTTCAGTGACATGAATCCGCGCATGTGCCCGAACTAATTACGATGGAGCAACGCAGACGTATGTCTACTAGCGTTCTATTTTCAGTATTCACGGGTCCAACCTTGCGTTGGGGACCAGATGACCATCGCAGTATTCTTAGCCCACACGCAAATGGTGTGCGTTGCGTGTGTTGGGCGGAGCCTGGGATACTAGTCGGTAAGCAATGACACATAAGACGTGTCAAATACGATAGTATAGAAGTCGGAGGCGGCTGAACCCAACGTGTATTGTGCGGGCTACAAGAATAGGAAGCGAATCAGACAGAGCGAGAAACGTGCAGCGAGGTACTCACCAAAACGAGTTGTGTCAACGGACGTGCAGTCAGTAAAACAAGTGGATGTTTCGAAGGTTAAAACAGCCGTAAAATCCAATGTTACAAAGTACTGTAAGAGCTTGTTTTCCGGTACACTACACGTGGCAGCGAAGCCTTGGTACGCCGTACTGCTGATGTCTTCGTTGACATCATCTTGCCTTCTGAGTCATACAATTCACTCTTCCTTACTTTACATAACCGGCGCGGTAAGGTCTTTTAGGCAAAATTTGTGACAAAGAACTGATTGGCCAGAATGTGATGCGGTTTTTGTCTTAATTTTCACTTTTCATATCGCTCAATCAATTTCTAGTCCAACGATGCGCAGAAGAAAGAGCATTCACCACAATATTCTGTTGTTTCAGTCCCACTTGAACTTGACAAATGTTGGGCCAACTACAATTTCCTTACGAATCCCAGCGATTTTTCGTGGTACCGTCCTGGCAGAGATGATTGGAAAGGCTAGTATGCAACCGGATTCGGGAGCACTTAAGTAATGACGACTTAACGCCGAACAGCATGGTTTCATTACAAAGTTGTCTCCAATTTTTGTCTTTTTACATGTATAAATGAGATTGCTCGATAGCGGGATTTCGAAAGTGAATGCTATCTCTACTTTGTGAAGGCCTTTGACTCAGCGAATCACCGTTCTTTCACTTAAGTCGAGATGATTTGGATTGCATTGCAACTAGTCATCTTGACTGTACGTCGGCCGCTGGCCGAGTGGTCTGCGCACCTGGTTTGCAACCATAAGGTCCCCATTTCAAATCCGTGAAGAGGTGGGCGTCCTCGTGGTATACCCAACCCGCGCACGACTGGTAGTGGTCGCGCGGCAGCGAAGCGCCGTTACGGCGTACAGCTGGCACATTATTTATTATTATATTGACTGTTGGAATTCTTATGTGGGAGAACTCTTGAGCTAGAATCGGCGAAGCGAATTTTAGTCTGGGCTTTGCCTACAGTTGTCTTTTAGGGTTCGGCGTTGGGTCCACTACTGTTTCCTGTGTTTACAAACGACCTGGTTACTCTTTTTGTGGATCCATTCCACATCTTCGCAGCTGGCTGAAAGCAATCGAGCCACACTGATCAACGATATCATCAACATGGTGAACTACTCGGACCAACGGTATTTGCCCCCGTCTATGTCCATTAATGTCAGCTACTGACCACTGGTAGCCACGGTTTGTAGTGCAGACTTCTGCGGGGTCTCTGTCATTGCAGAGTAATAGTCAAGCACTTGTGTATTATCGTGATAATCTGTTTCAGAGCTTCGGTGCTGTGCCGTTATCCTGCCAACGAGGCACGACAAGAGTTGTTTCGCTTCAAGTGGTCGATGTATAGCATGCTTCCCTAATTAAACAGATGTTGCTGTGTATGTCGATGCAGTCTAGGTTGTCTCCGTTGGTGTAACTTGGCTCTCATCCACATTTCCCCGGTCATATTCCTGTGGTTATATACTTGATATGAGCTGTGTGGGTGGTGCAGCACAAGCCATTCATGATCCTTCAGCAAGCACAGGCATCCTGTGGTTGTCCTATAGAGGCCATAATGCCAGTCGAATCCGGAATCGGATGCTGCCAAGCATGGGTTTTGTAAATGAAGTGATACACATTTGTCTCAAGGCTTATGGATCTTGATCTGGAATGTTGGTTTACGACATTTAGTTTTTTATTAAATCATTTATCTTATTATAGTTGTGTAGCATCAAGGCACTATTGCAAAGTATTGTGTTGTTGCTATAGATTGGCTTTATACCCATTTCGACAGGCTCATTGAGTTCAGATATTGCTTCCTCTTCCCGCAACCTTGTCATCGAAAGTCATGCAACTGATCTTACGTAAGCATCTTTGGCACAGCCTTTGTCAGGTACTGCTGTTATCTGTGCTTTCAGAATTAGCTATATCTAAGCAGTTTTTCGGTCATGTTTGGCGGCGTACTGCGCTTATAACTTTGATTTCCCTACTACATCTTATGTGATGGGCAGCATTTCTACAGCATCACACGCGAAACACCTAGATTTCAAGGTAGAGGGGATTGCTCACTTGTTTTTTCACCAACACCACCCTTTTGTTGCAGGGAATAATTTAGTGGCACTCCATAACCAGTCAACTGATTTCCACTCTTATGTATTACTTCGTTTCCTTTCAATCATTACACCTCACTTCACTGACCCTGCTTGAAACTGGGTCCCATTAGAGTGTCGCATGAGCTTCTTCAGACGTGGACTAACCCCAGTCACTATCAACACCACCTTTTTTATCATCATAGCTGCAATACTTGTGCATATCTTGGCTTGTCCGAAATGCGCTTGTCCACGCACGACCACTGCTTCTACAATACCTAGCCTGAATGTGTTATAACTTGACGTTTTGCTTTGCCTTTTTCAGCTCGTCGCGATTATTCCCCATCTCATTCGGATCACTACAAGCTACATGTCGATATAGATCACCGTGCGTCAATGTCTTTAGTACTGGGTTCGTTTGATTAACCTTTTGTGGCTCACCGATCAGAGAGATTAATTCCTCCATTACCTAGAGTAGAACGTGGCAAACCTGTTGCTCTGGACGCTGATCCAAACGGCCTCCATCTTCTCTATGTTTCCGGTAATAGCGTAGTTCTCCGAAACCTCAAGGTTAGTTGCTCATCTTTGAGTATCACTTTTCCAGGACCTTAATAAAAGTGACATGTATACCGAACACTCCGGGACAGTGAACGTGGCTAGATATTCCCCGAGTGGATTTTACATTGCTTCTGCCGGTAGATGCTTTTGTACCGTTTACTACTGTTTGCAGATAGGTTTGGAAAAGTGAGAATATGGGACACCATAAATGCGGAGCATATACTAAAGAATGAATTTCAGCCTTTCAGTGGCCCAATCTGCGATCTGGCTTGGACTTTTGATAACCAACGCATAATTGTTGGAGGAACTGGCCAATCACAGTAACTCAGCGGTTTTTCATAATTGCAGGTTCGGTGCTGTCTTCAATTCGGAAACAGGTGCATCTGCGGGCGTCATAATGGGGATGAGCAAAAACATCAATTCAGTGGACTTTCGGCCCGTTCGTCCATTTCGTGCTATCACCGGAAACGACGAAGGACTGGTTAACTATTTTGAGGGCCCACCGTTTACTTTCAAACACTTACACAAAGTTAGTCCCTGTTAGTTTCCATTATCGGAAGCCAATTTTACACATATGAACTCGACAACTCACCATTCGGAATATTCCCGCACTTTCCACTGTCTGCATTCTGTTCACATACTCCTTTTTCTATACGCTATTCTTATATAACGAGGTCCAGCTTTGGCTCCGTAACTTTACACATTTCCTGTTAATACAAGCGTTTTGAGCCTGCTTTAACAACACCACACCAGTTCCGCTTGCTTTCAAAGTATTTGCATCGCTAACTTTTCAGAATCTGCATCATCTTGTCTTGTGGAATGTTTCACGTTCGGTGTTCACGCCGTGTTTGCGTCTAGGATACTAAACCTCAGGGCTCATTAGCAGTGAACTGCTTTTTACTACCTTGATCGCTTGTCTGCGACATTTTTGAACTTGACGAATTCTGCTTACGTGGTTACTAATGACGACCTAGGAATTATGGAGTTTTCAGTGTCCCCTGCTCCGTTTATATATATATATATATATATATATATATATATATATATATATATATATATATATATATTATACACAATCTGTGGTACAGATATTGTGCCATCGGAATCATGGCTGAATAGGAAAACAATATGAATAATAAGAAAAGAGCAACAAGAAATGCTTTTTTTGTCAAGTTTACCACTCACAGTTTTTGAAATTTTTTTTTCAGTTTGTTCGTTTTTAGGGGGAGGAGGAAGGGACACCGCAACACACTGATGCACACGTCCGCCATTGACATCGATCTTGAGCCATAACTTCCAAGGTTTTCAACCAGCAAGTATCCTCGTCTCTCGGACCCCAACCAGGTAGTCGACAACAACCGGCCGAGGCCAATTGTTTCGTCAACTTTTTCATGCGGCTTCTCCATGTTGTAGGCTGTCCACCAGACCGTCTCTTCCAGCCCTGTCCAGCAAGTGCAAACAACGCACGACGGGGGTAACGCTGGACAGGCATGCGCAATACGTGTCCCAACCACCGCAGTTGATGCAGTGAGATGAGCTCCTCGAGCGAGTGGCTTCCACGTCCCAAGACACGCTGTCTAACTTCCACATTGCTTACGTGGTGCTGCCACCACACACGGGCAATGGACCGCAGACAGCGGTGCTCGAAGACGGATAGCCTGCGCAAGTCATCTTTACGAATGGGCCAGGTCTCGCATCCGTACAACAGTACAGCACGAACAGTTGCACAATAGACCCGCCCTTTGATGGAGAGACGAATGTCGTGGCGACGCCACAAATGCCTCAGCCTAGAAAAAGCGAGGCGTGCTTTCGAGATGCGCATCGAAATCTCGTCTCCAACAGCCCCGCCAGCAGTGATGCAACTTCCCAAGTAGACAAAGCTCTCCACAACCTCCAGTGTCTCACCAGCAAGCGTGAGTGCAGGCAGAGGCACCTGCCAGTCTTGAAGGAGAGCCTTGCATTTGGATGGCGAAAAGCACATACCATGCTTTGATGCTTCAATCGTCAAGCGGTTTAATGCAAGTTGGACGACTTGTGGATCGTCACCTAGCAAGACGATATCATCAGCATAATCCAAATCAACAACTCGACTACCTGGGAGGAGCTCAACGCCAGCGTTCAACGAATCGCTCAGAGCGTTCTTCAGGACATCCTCAATGGCAAAGTTGAATAGGAACGGAGAGATAGGGCATCCTTGTCGAACTCCACTGGAGACCACAAAGGTAGGCGAAAGCATGCCATAAGCCCTAACCCTGCCCGAGGTCAGACTGTACAGAGCGCGCAGTATGGAGACGAACTTCTCGGGGACACCGTTCCTCAGAAGGCACTGCCACAGTACTGTACGATCGACAGAATCGAAGGCAGCACGGATATCCAGGAACACAGCAATCGTTGGCCTCTGATACACATGGCGGAGCTCGAGGATCTGGCGAAGTGTGAAGATTTGATCGATGCAGCCGCGACCAGGGCGAAACCCAGCTTGTTCTTCTCGCTGCAACGATTCGCGTGTTGGGGATAGCCTGCGAAGTATGATGGACACCAGCAGCTTGCAAACGACGGGGACTAAACTTATTCCTCTGTAGTTGGAGCAGATTGTGCGCAGGCCCTTTTTGAAGATGGGTACGACTATCGATTCACCCCAAGATGATGGAACCTTCTCTTTCGACCAAATTTTCGAGAACAAAACGGTGAGTTCTCGGACCAGCGATGCGCCACCATCTTTAAATAGAGCTGGGTGAAGACCATCAGGGCCGGGAGCTTTATAACGCTTCAGGTGCCGGAGCTCCTGCTCGATTTCCTGGGAAGAGGGAGGGTCTGTTGGGGTAGACCACTCGGCCCCAGCGCGAGCGCCAGAGGTAGCAGATGGAGCTGGGGGCCAACAAAACTGCGAGCCAAAATGTTCGGCCCATCGCTCCAACCGTCGTTGAAGATTGGTGATTAAGGTGCCATCCTCTTCGCATATTGTTTCACTTATACCAGATCGAACACCTTCGGTGACTCGAAGGAGATGGAAGAGTTTCCTGGTATTACCACAGAGACTAGCAAGCTCCATCTCCCTAGCACGTTCACACCACCAAGCTTCGCGGTCCATTTGCAGACTCCTGCGCAACTCTCGACCAAGGTATTGGCGTTCTTCAACGTGTCTCGAATCCGATGGGATCAAGCGGCGTTTGTCCATCAGCGACAAGGAGTCGGCGGAAATCCAATGTTTCGGTGGGTGACGGGTAACTCCACAAGTGTCGATACTGGCGGAAACTAACGCATCTTTGATATGCGCCCACTGCGAATCGAGATCACCGTCAATAGTTGAGCCAAGCAAGGTTGACAGTGAGGCTTGGTACCTGGTTAAAACCGCAGCGTTTTGTAGATTTGCGACGTCCGGTCGGTAGTGGGCGCGCTTAGGTGATCCTCCGAAACGCATGCAAATCTTAGCACGAACCAATGCGTGATCAGAGTCCAGAAAAGTTGACCAGTACGATCGGCAGTCCATTACGCTTCCGCGCCATCTGTAGCTGATTGCTATGTGGTCAAGCTGGGAGCACTCTTGCGTTTGTGAGGGCGGGCGCCAGGTAGCAGTCTGTCTCCTCGAGTGTCGAAAACTAGTGCTCGAAAGAAACAAGCGATGATCAGAGCAAAGAGCAAGTAGTCTGTCTCCATTGTCTGATCGACTGCCACCGAGACCAAAACTACCCCCAATGTGGTGCTCGCTTGGTAGAAGGCGGCCAACCCGTGCGTTAAAGTCCCCGGCAAGAATGACTATATCCGTCCGTTTGGAGGAACGCAGAAGTTCATGTAGTTGTTGGTAGAAGCTATCTTTAACTGCATCCGGGCTGCAGTCTGTAGGGGCGTAGGCGGAGACGACAAATAAGGCACGCTTAACATCTCGACGCCTGCTTACGTTACATGAACCTCTTAGTCTGACTGCACATAGTCGGCTGTTGACTGGGATCCAGTCAAGCAGAGCTGATTCAGCCCTGGCACTTAATACAACCCCAACACCAGCTTGACCAGTGGCGGCAGATTCTGGGTCTCCGGAAAGCCGCAAGTAGTATTTGGCGTCAGAGTTTACCGGAGAGGCCATTCTGATGACGGCGCTAGAGTCTTGCAATCTGGTCTCTGAAAGACAACAGATGTCTACCGATAGCGTTTCAAGAGTACGGGCCAGACATGCTTGTCGTCCGATCTGCATCAAAGTTCGAACATTAAACGCTGCGAGGATGAATGGAGAACCAGGTCGGAGAAGAGCTGGAGCTTCGGTGGAGTGAGAGGCGGTTGCGATCGCAGGACATGGAGAACCGGGAGTTTGGCTGTTACTTCCATCAGCTGCGAGACGTGGGTCGTTTGTGACGGTGACCGTAGAAGACATAAGAGTACATGTAGATGAAGGACGGGAGGTGGGGTGGTCTGTGAGTGGACGTTGAGCGGTTGAGTTAAGACAGAAGAGCGGCATAGCAAGTAGTAGTAGTGAGCGGTGAAGTCCATGATTCGTCAGCGGGCGTGATACTACCCGGTTGCCCAGGCCGAAGTAGAGGGTTGTCTTAGGGGGCCCTACCCCGAGCCTTTGATCAAAGATCTAACCTACAAGGCAGCAGGGCGATGTGAGGGCGTCGCAACCCGTTGGGAGCCGGTGACCAAGTAGATGGTTCATACGCCTTTCGGTCCGTGAAGGACCAGGGGCCCAACTCACCCTTAAAGTACAATGCCTCTCAGGGAGGGGCAAGGGGCAGTGACTTTATTTAGTGGCGAGTCACATCCGCCACGTCGCAGTGTTGTTAAACGGACATATGTGGCTTTTTATAGGGAGAACGCTTGCCAGGCGAAAACCCACCACGTCCTGGAACACTGCCGCCGAACCATTCGCTGGAACGGGAAAAACCCGAACCACCCAGCTGGCACCACGAGGAGGTTGTTCGGCAAGCCAGCCTGCTCCGTTTAGTCGATAAACAACATGTCTCTTCGATTTGGCTATTAGCTAGTCATGTGAACTGACGTAACAATACCCTACGCATGCCGTAGTGCGAGGCACTTGATTACATCTAACCACCCCGTTCATTTTACCCACGTAGTGTCTTGATTACTAGGAGTTGCGTGGGGGCCACCGAGAGACTGGTGCGTTGATGCAAACACACGAGTGTACCTTTGTTAATCCTTCTGTCCGATCACTGGAATTCCTAAGTTCACTTGATGCTCATCGTCGGTGAATACAGTCTGCTATTTTGGATGTCTGTAAATGCTGAGGTTGAAGTTGCATACATCATACTTCTTCAACGCAGTTGGGCTACACTGACTGACACTTAAACTAGCTCCTTTTAAACTGGATGAAGATTATTCCATCTTATTTGATATGCTCAGTTACGTTATTCTGTTGTGTATTCCGCTTCAATTTTGTGTTATTTTTTCAAATTCTGTATTGGCTGTTTGATATCCCCGGTGTGGCTGGGCTTGATGTAAGTGTTGACAAGGTGCCTCCATGTCAAACACCCTCCACCACGATTATTGGCTCCAGGAGACAGTTGCTGCAGGGGATAG